GCTGGGGGCCTCATTCCCACTGCAGGGATGGCAAAGCCCAGGTCCTCAGCCTCTTGCCCAGGATCGCACAGGCAGCCAGGGGCAGTGTGAGCAATGGAACAGGTCTGCTCCTGTTGAGCCCAGACAAGCTGCTGAGGTCCTTTAGCACAAGATCCCAAGCGAGGTCATCTCAGCAAATGGTGACCGTGGGTGAGTCAGCAAGTGAATGAATGAATGAATGAATGAATGAATGAATGAATGAAAAGGCTATTTAAGGGACTCTGTTCTTGGGGAGGTGTGGGAGAGCATAGTCATCCCCTCCAGGGAGTCCCCTGAGATTAATAACCCACAGGAAAAGGCCCATTTCAGCTCTCCAGAAACAAGGGTCCCCCAACTACCTGGGTCCCAGGAATTCCCCCTGGCTGTCCGCGTGCCCCCACTAAGGAGCCCTGAGAACACCTCTGTGGCCTGCCCCTCCACCTTAGTCCCAAGCAACCCCCCAATGCCAGAAGCCAGAGGTCACCCTGCCCTAGTCTCCATCCCCCACCACACTCTTGCCTAGGCTGAACCCCGAGTTGAGAGTGGAGTCTGGGACGGGGGTGCCATAGGGGAAAACCAGCCTCCTCTCTCCATCCCCTTTGCCCTTCACCCCCTTTCTGTGCTTACTTTGGGGAGCCCCCAGGATGGGGGCACTGCACACACCAGTTAGCTCCAAGGAGCTTGCGAGCTAGGCGGCTGGAGCCCCCTGCTGGCCAAGCATCCCCATTCCCCATGGGGGTTGGGAGGATTCTTCATTCATTCAGCAAATATTTAGGAAGCCCCTACTACGTGCCTGGGTTAGGCCCTGCGGCTCAGCGGGGAGTGTCCACAGACACTCCCTTCTGATGCCTGTGGCTCAATATGTGGTGCCTGGTGTCAGGGTCACAGGCCCCCGCCCCCAGGCTCCCCAGGATGGTCCCCACCCCCAGAAAATTGCAATCTCCCCGTGCGCAGGAGGTGTGCCCCCACCATGAGACAGGGCATGGTTGCGCTATCCCCCCCAGGCTGGGGCTCCCACGGGCTATAAAACCTGCCATTCCTGAGAAACCTCTGGACTCACTCCTGGAGCCTCCCAAGGCTAGGGCTGCCAGATAAAATATAGGATGCCCAGTTAAACTTGAATTTCAAATAAACAAGGAATGATTTTTTAGTATAAGTATGTCCCAAATATTGCATGAGGTATACTTAAACTAAAAATTATTTCTTGTTTATCTGAAATTCAAGTTTAACTGGGCTCTGTGTTTCTACTTGCTAAATCTGGGAACCCTACCCCTGGAGCTCATTCCTTCTGCTGGCACCTGGCCTGTCCAGATGGCCCACGTCGTGCCTGGACACGGCCCCTGCCTGCCCCATTATAGCTCCTGCCCGCCTCCAGGACGGCTGTCCTCCCCAACAGGCCCCAAGTTCCCGGGTGGACACCCACTCCCACCTGGTATGCACGCTCCAGCCCATGGCCTGTCAGGAATGCTGTCTGACCTCCTTCGTGATGGCTCCAGAGAGAGGGGGACAGAGCCACCCCTGCAAAGAGGGACCTCGAGTGTCAGAGACAGAGAGAGGCAGAGATCCAGAGATAAAGGGACATAGAGAGTGAACAATGGAGACAGTGGGAGAGAGCTGAGACAGAGCCAGAGAGCTGAAGGCCCCCTGCCCAGCACTGCTTCATGGAGACCAGCTCAGAGGCTGGAGGGTCCTGAGAGCCCACCAGGGCTTTCCCTGAGTGGATTGGGGTAGAGGCTGGGCCCCTGAGCCCCAACATTGGACTTGGGACTCTGGGTCCTGGATGGGCGGGCAGGCCCTGAGAGGCAGCTCGGGGTCTCCCGCCCTAACAGTCAGGGGTGGGAGTCCATCCCCAGCCCCTGCTGCTCTCCCCTCACCCTGCTTCCTAGGGGCAACACAGGGACATTCAAGGCTTCCCAGAAGGGCCCATGGGGCAGCCAGAGTGGCTTTTAAAATTAGCCTCACTAACCAGATCTGGTTATTTCAGGAGGCCCCGTCCCTGGCTGTCCCCTTGGCAGGGCGGGTACAGGGAGGGAGGGAGGGAGGGACCTCTACATTCCAGGGTCCCTGGCTAAGTACCCCCTGTGGCCTAAGCAGTAGAAAACATCCAGGTCCCAGTCCCCTGGCACTGGGTGGGCCTGGGCCTGCGGCTGTCTCTTTGGCAAAGTCACCTCAGGGTTAGCCATGGATGTCCACGGACACCCCAGCTGCTACGGGACAGGGGAGGACCCCTCTTGTGGGCATGGGTCTTATGCCAGGCACCTTAGAAGCCGTGACAGCCTCTTCACAGCAATAGGTAAGGCTTTGTCCTCCTTTTATAGGTAATGAACCTGAGACCTGGAGGGACAGGTACCAGCTCTAAGGCAGGGGAGATGGGGGTTGGGTCAGCTAGGCACCCAAGTCCCTCCACAGGAGGCCTCTTGCCTCCTGCGTCTGGAGAAACCTCTGGCTGCCATTTCCACCACCAGAGTTATTTCTACGTAGCGTCCACCGCTTCCCGGAGCCCGGTGCCCCCCACCCAAGCCCTAATTCCAGCCTCGGGTCAGTGTCCTGGCCTGCCCTCCCCACCTCAGAACCCAGAGTGAGTACGGAGCTGGCGCGGACACAAGAGAAACAGCGTTGGACACTTTGATCCTGGAGGCCAGATTCGTCCTCGGCTTCCCCTGGCCCCACCTTGGAGCCTGGGGAGGTGGGGATGGCCTGGGGCCCAGCCTGAAAGAGCCCAGACGCCGACCCTGGCCACAGAGGGGTGCTGGCCCGGGCTGGGCAGGCAGAGGGCAAAGGCAGGGTCCGTGTCTGCCGGGCTCAGCTGTGGAGCGGAACGCACGCGCAGTGCATGGGGAAGCGCACAGGTGAGGGTGCCCAAACCCCTTTATAAAAGGATCGTCAGTCCCAGCAAAGCCCGGGAGCTGAGGCTCAGGGGAGCAACCGGCGATCACACGTTCCCAAGGTCTGAACATCTGTGTCGGGCCAGCACCGGCTACTCCATCTTCCACACCGAAAGCCGACCCCACATCCTCTGATGTGGCTTATGGATATGGTCCCCGTTAATGACTAATCACTGCCCCCGCCACCCAACACGCACAGTTTTTAGAGCACACCACGTGCTAGAGCCGCACCCCTGAATCCTCATGGCAGGGTACCCAAGTCAGAACTATTAGCCCTCCCACTGTGTGGATGAGGAAACGGAGGCCCAGAGAGCCAAAATCATGTGTCCCAAGTCACAGAGAGAGGAGGTAAAGGCACTCAGAGCTAAGCTCTTGACCTTGGTGCTGAACTGTGGCTGCTGGCCCTTCGGTGGTGGGATGGGAGGAGACAGGGCAAGAGACTGAGGGGAGGACAGGAGATGGGAGGGGGCGTTTGGGCTAGAGGACTGGGGTGAGGCTGTGCACGGGAGGGGGTGGGGTTGGTAGGGGACCCATGGAGCCCAGGGAAACCCAGAGCCAAACCGGGCGGGTGGGGCTAGGGACTGGGTGTGAGTCACAGCCCCTGGGTGGCCCCAGACATCCTAGAGCCACTGTCAGGAAAAGCATGGCAGCCCCTGGGGGGTGCGCTCACCACTGTCCTGCGGAGGGCGTGGGGGTTGTGGTAGGCAGTGAGGAGGCCACCAAGCTGTCGGGAAGGCCAAGCCATGTGTCCACCCCAAGCTACTCTTCCTCCTGCACTCCTACCTCAGAGGGGACCCCCTCACCCAGTACCCGGGCTGGACTCCCCTGCCTCAGACCCACATCCCATCATGCTCATGATGCTCATGATGCTCATGCCCCCCAGTCCTTCCAGGCCTGCTCACTGTCCCCAACGACTGCCTCCTCGACCCTCCCTTCCCTCCCTGACACTGCCCAGCTGGTCTCCACCAGCAGCCCCAGCTTCTCTCTGTGGTAATCCGAGTTTCAAATCCTCCATGGCTCCCCGCTGCCCTGAGCATAGACCCCTGACCCCTTGGTCCGGTATTCAAGGCCACATGGCCTCTGGCCTCATCTCTACCCCATCACCTTCCCATCACTCAGAACTGTTTGCAGGGCGCCTGGGTGGCCCAGTTGGTTGAACGCCCACCTCTTGATTTCAGCTCGGGTCATGATCTCAGGGTTGTGAGATGGAGCCCCATGTCGGGCTCCGTGCTCAGTGCAGAGTCTGCTTAAGATTCTCTCTCTCCTCGTCCTCTGCCCCTCCACCCCTTCTCATGAACACTAAGTAAATAAATACAATCTTAAAAAAAAAGAAGACAGACAGAAAGAATTGTACCTTCCCAATTCCAGGCACTCCCCTCCACACATTTGCCCCTGCAGTTCCCTGCCCCAGCGACACTTTCCTAGGCCTTTCCAGGATGCTCGGCCACCACTGCTGCTGAGTCCTCTCCATGTGTCCCTCACCCAGGCTGGGCCCCTGGTTTGTGCACCCGGGGTCACTCAGTACCCTTTATTGTAACTGCCCAGCACCGGGAGCCCTTCCCTGGCCCCCGCCGGTCCCGGGAAGCGATCCCTTGGCGCCCCCTGGTGGCCACATTGAGGAAATTCTTGGGCTTCATTGAGCAACAGGAGAGCAGGAAGCTGATCCTGGAGCACCCACTGGGTGCCAGACACTGTGCCAGGTGTTGGATATACACCAGCTCGAGGAACCCCCATCACAAGCCCTTGGGAGAGATACTATTGTCCTATTTCACAGAAGTGGAAACTGTGGCTCAAGTTTCTCAAGGCCACCCAGCTAGTAAGAGATGGCGCCAGGACCCCAACCGAGGTCTGCCTGACTGCAGAGCCTTTTCCCCCCCTGCAGACGGGGAACAGGGTGGAGCGAAGGGCAGCACGATGGGGAGGAAGCACCCTGGTGGTCACCGAACCCGTGGTTTGGCCGTGGAGATACCCCTGGAGCCTAGCAGCGGCTCTGAAGGGTGGGGTGAGGGGGACGGACGGGCTGGTCCCTCGGTACCACTGGGATCCGTCTGGAGTCAGTCCGGGCAGAGTTCACACAAAGCCAGGCCCAACACGGGGTACAATAGCGATAAATAGAATTTATTTTGTACAACTGTTACCGACGTACACACAGCCACGGGGGCTTCCAAAACGGGTGTTGGGGCCGGAAGGCTGGCCTTTGGCGTGGTGCCTAAAAAGTGTGGACAGACACACACAAGGGTGTGGACTCACAGCAGCTGTGCCTCGCTGCCCCTCCGTGGGAGTTGGCGGGGGGCGCAAAGGCGAGGCCCATAACTCTAGGCCAGCTGAGACCCCTCGACCTGGAGTGCCCAGAGCATGGGATGGCAGGGGTTAAGCTGGGTGCTGGCTGAGAAGCCAGGTAGGTCCCCCTTGCCCTAAGGGGGTCACTTGTCTGTCAGGTGGAGGCAGTGGACAGGGCATCGGCAGATCTGTGGGAGAGCTTGAGGGTCCAGGAGGGGCAACAGGCATAGCCAGCTCCCAGTCCCTCAGCCCACCTGGGGTCCCAGGGAACCCAAGAAGCAAGGTAGGGCGATGGGGGGCCTCTAGGAGGAAAACCCCCCATTCTGGGGCAGATGCATGGAATCACAGTCTTCAATGACCTCTGCAATAACCTTGTCCATTTGCAACAGAGGTACCCAGAGAGGGACAGTGACTTGCCCAAAGTCACACAGCAGAACCCAGATTGGAAGCCAGGACTCAGGACTCCCAGCCCAGTGCTCATTCCACCATATCTCACATCCCACTGCCTCCATGGTAGGCTCTGTATGCACTGAGATATCTCAATCCGCCCCTCCCATCTTGCTCCCCGTGAGTCCAGAGGGGCACCCAGGTGTGATGAAAGGCCCGGAGTGGGAGCAAGCCAGGCCTGGCGTTCTGCTTCAACTGACCACGGCCTGCCCCAGCTTCAGGGGTGGGGATGATGCCAGCAGCTTCCCCCTCCCAGGTCTGGATGGCTCCGCCCCGCAGAGACAGCCCAGACGGGTGGCCAAGGTGGGGGCAGGGGGCAACAACCCATAGGCTGGTGCTGGCCTTGGGGGCAGAGGTCCTATCCACCTGGACTTGACACAGCATCTTCACCTTGTGCTTCTGCAGCCTCATCTGCAGGGTAAAGGGAGATGAACACACCATGAAGCAGGGACACAGAAGTTGGAGGGGCCCGCCCCTGGAGTCCCAGGCTCTCTCTGGGTCTTTCGGTCCCACTGGGAATCCCCCAGCCCCTCCCTCCCAGCAATTCCCAAGTCCTCTGCAGGCTCCCACCAAATCCTCCCAGCAATTCGTGGGTGGGGGGTGAGGCAGCATGTATTGGTCCCACTGCACAGATAAGGAAATGGAGTCACAGAGAGGGGCCAGGGACCTCCCCAAGTCCTACCCAGCATCTTAGTGGCAGAGGATTCAAATCCAGGTACATGGAGCTCTCAGCCCCGGGAGCTGGCAGAGGACCAGGGAGGTGTCATCCCCCCTTCCCGCCCACCCCCGCCCTCTCCTGCCCTCTCCCCACCAAACAAGAGCCGAGGACTGGGTCTGACCTGCTCAGTTTCACCTTCAGAGCGGGAGCCTGGCTAACAGCCCTGCACAGACAGAGCGCCGGGGCAGGTGACAGGACAAATGAAGACACGGGAGGAGACACAGACAAGCAGAAGACACGGTTGTGCCCAGGCCAGACGAACCCAGGCCCTCCTGGCCTCGGGGACCTCTTGGTCTGGCGCCCACCCCCGGTCCCCTTGGACACCTGTCCCCTTTCCCCGAGAGCTGACCCCCCTCCTGGGGGAGCGTTCCCACCAGGCAGCTTCTAGGCTGGCCGCATCGGCCCTGGCCAGCCCCCTGGCGGCGGCACGTACCAGCTGGGGTGTGTGCTGCTCAGATGCTTCCAGCTGGATCTTGATCTCCGGACATGCAGGGTCCCCCGGCTTGCCGGCGTCGGGATGGGGTGACCGCGAGGGGCCTGGGGAGGGGGGCAGGAGGGAGCCACCTCACTGGCCGCGGGGAGGCACCAGGGAGATGGACGCATGGATGGGCGGTAGGCACCAGTGCTCCACGGCCCCGCCGAGTCCCTCCGTCAGGGAACCCCACTCTTACCTCCCTTCTTTACCCCTCCTCCATCATCCTCCAAGACCCTTCCAGAAGCCATCAGCCCTCAACCGTCTTAGGCTGGATAATGACCCGCCCACTGTCCCCTCTGTCAGGGGCAGGCCCATCACACACCCACCACCCGGGGCGTGTGGATGGTCTCGGCCCTCTGGGCCTCTCCCTGCCCCCTCCGGCCACCAGAGGGGCTTGGCAGGGGAAGCTGCCTGGGGCCTGGTACCTGGGGAGCTGCCCCCACTCGTGGTGCTGACACTATCCTCCAGCCACGTGCTGTAGATGAAGGAGTCCCGTTTGTGAGGCGTCCCTGAGCACGAGACGCTCTCCTGCGGATGGGGGAAGAGAGAGAGAGGGAGGTCAGCCCTCATCCATGGCACTGGCTGGGTTCCGCTCCCGTCTCCCAGCTTCCTCCACTTGCGGCAACCCACAACCCCTCACCCTCGCGCCCCTGCAAAGAGGAAGGGGGCCCAGCAATGTCTGCCCCAGGGAGAGCAGAGGAGGACGGAGTGGGAGGCATTCACCACACACTCCCATTCATTCATTCAGCAAACATTCACCGATGCTTATCCTGGGCCAAGCTGGTGAGGGAAAGCAGGCAGGCTCCCTGCCCTCAGACAGTGAAGTCTCGGAGGCAAGACAGGCTGTGAAGAGACTATTAAAATCCTAGACTCTGAGCCCCATCGGGTGGGGCCTTGGTCTGCACTGTTCCCTGCTGCATCTGCAGCACTTGGAACTGGGCCTGGCAAAGGAGAGGGGGCCACTAAAGCTTTGCTGAATGAAGAATGACACAAGAGTGCTCAGGGCAAAGCCCCGGGGGTCTATGAGAGCATGAAGAGGGGGGTTCCCAACCTACCCTAGGACTAGAAAATCAGGGAAGGCTTTCAGGAGGAGGTGATGTGAGGCTGAGTCGAGAAGGATGAGTAGGAGTCAGTCAGACAAAGGGGGGAAAGAGGAGGCAGGGAGAGTGTTCCAGACCCAGGAGATGGCAAGCGCCAAGGCCCAGAGGTGGGGTAAGCCTCATATGTTGAGGGAACTGCAAAGGAGCACAGAATGGCTAAAGTGGTAAGAGATGAGGCTGGGGAGGGACCGGCTCTTCATTGGAGCCCTCAGAGATGGGGCTCTCTGGGGGCGACACTGGGGAGCCATGGAAGGCTTCAGAGTAAGGGACGGTGAGTCTGCATGACTCCTTTGGGCTGGGTTCCCCCATCTCAATCTCAGCCACACCCAGGCTCATGCTTCTGCCCGGAGTATCTACAGGGACCAAAGGGCCACCCTCCGGGCCGCTGGAGAGCACCACGGCTCCCTGGGCCTCTCACCAGGCCTGTGTCGTCCGCGTCCACGCCCTCGGTCTCCTCCACCACGCTGGCGAAGCTGCTGGCGCTGGACGAGGAGCGGGAGAAGTCCTTCAGCACTTCCGCTCTCTGGGCTGCCGTCTCCGCTCTGCCACAGGCAGCACCCCGTTAGCCTGCGTCTGCTCCGGGCACCCCACCCCGCTTCCCTGCCCCGGGAGGCCCGGCCTGCAGCCACCCCGGCACCTCTGTGGCCCCCACCACAGCTGCCCAGGCCTCGGAGCCTCCCCCCACCACTGTCCTTCCTAATTCATGGATCTGAGCGCACCCCTCCACTGAGCAAAACCCTCCTGTGGCTCCCCATCGCCCCAGATAAAGTCTAATTTCCTTGGCGAGGTATTCAGTAATAATAATAACTATTAACAGAAAATCTATGGTCCAGCGTATGTTTGCTCTGTGCCAGGCACTGTTTCAAGTGCTTTTACTGGAGCTATCTCATTGTTACCATTAATAGACCCATCTCACAGATGAGGAAACAGCGAGGCTCAGAGAGGGTAGGCACATAGCCCAAGGTCACCCAGCCATAGGTAGGAGAACAGGGTTTAGGACCCAGGCCTTCCAACTGCACAGTCTACTCTCAAGCCTCTTGGTTTTGTTCCATGCTCAGGACTTTGTGTCTCCTGCAGTCTCATTCCTTCCCTCAAATCCCAAAAAGCAGATTCATCTTTCAAAACTCAGCCGAGGGTCTCCTCCTCCCTGATTTCCTCCTCTCAAGGTGGGAATGGACCTCCCCACTCTGGGTCTGTAAGCCCTGTCTCTCCCTGTCCCTGTCGTCCATTCCTGCCCCTTCAGGAGAGCACAGTCTGGGAGTCTAGACACTCCCAGAGCCAGCACAGAGGGGGCTGAGCTGCAGCGCTGAAGGGAGGGGTGGCCTCCCCCTACTTCCATTCTTCCCCACGCCACCTCTTCATGTGGCAACCACGGTCAGGTTTGAAAGCATCACTCCTCTTAACTAAAATCCCAAAGGCTCCTCCCTGGCCCCACTTAGGGTAAAATGCAAAGTTCTCATATCGCTTCCAAAGCTGGGATCTAGCCCCTGCCCACCTCCCTGACCTTATCCTCAGCAACACCCAGCACAACGTCTGCCTGGGCCTAGCCCCTCACTCACTCAGCTCCAACCGCACCACTCTTCTTCCTATCCTTCAGGCATGACTCAGGGCCTTTGCACTTGCTGTGTTTTTCGCCTGGAGCCCTCTTCCCTCTGCCATGCCAGTCTTAGCAGGGCTGGCTCCTCACCTATCTCTCAACTTAAGCCTCCCCCATTTCTAGATGTCTTTCTTGAGCACCAACTAACCACCCCCCCCCCCCCGCCCACCCAGTAAGTCCTCATTGCATCCCCTGCTCTTTTGTCCTCTTGCATCACCATCTAGAAATAGCTCATCAGGTCATGCTACTCTGGACTGTCAGCTCCACGGGGCAGGGGACGTGTACGCCCAGCTCACTGTTGGATTTGGACCTTGGCCTGGGGCCTGGCATGAATGAAGCTCTCCGTGGGTGTGTGTCAAAGGAGGACCTGTGAGGGTGCTGGGGCCTCCCTGACGCCCTGGTGTGGCAGGGCCAAAGCTCCCGGGCAGTCCCAGGCTCACGCAGGGACTGGAAAGGGTGAGTCCAAGCCCCCTGGCTTGGCGTGCCCCGAACCCCAACCTGTTTTTGGTCGTGGGCATCTCTGGGGAGCTCTGAGTGGATGAGTTCTCCGACTTGGGCTCCTGTGAGGCGTGCCCGCTGTCTGGGGTCTTCTGGCCGGCGGGGGGACTCTCCCTGCGGGGCACACGGGGGCGGTGGGGGGATTCAGCACGGGGCCTGGCATCAAGGGTAGAACGAGGCCCAGGTGGTGAGGTCACGGGCGCCTCCTGCCTCGTCCCCATACCCTATATTCTCAGGGGCCAACCCCAGAGCCATCCCTGCAGCAACCTGGCTGGCCTGGCCGAGGAAAGGAGCAGGCGTGCTGGAGCGCCTACGGAAGACAGGACACTCCTCCAGTCCTCCCCTCCTTAACCCTGTCATGCGTAAGGAGACTGCAGTCCAGAGATGGGAAGGAATCTGCCCCGGGATGCACAGCTCGGTCCATGGCAAAGCTGAGATCTGAACCCGGGCTTCATAGGATTCTGGGTTCTCGTGGCCATGAGGACAGTACCACCTCCACTCCTGAGGACCCAGCGTCCCTGCCCTGCATCGCGTGCCCCGCACCCCACCTCTACAGCCGCCCTGTGCTGTTGGTTGTGTTCTTAGTCTCATTTTCCAGATTGGGACGGTGAGGCTCAGAGAGGTACAGTGACTTTTCCAGGGCCACCCAGCCCCACGTGGTAGAGACAGGAATCGCTTTCGGGAACTATCCTCTGCTTCCCAGGGGCCATCCCGCTGCTACTGAGGCGAGCTGCCTGCAGCCTGCCCACACAGACGCACCCGAGACCCCCACGGGCCAGGCCGCCCATGCCAGCTCCACCTCTCCCTGGCTGGGTGACCTGGGCAGGCCCCTGCACCCTCTCACCTACAGCATCTTGCCATGCAAGGTGTGACCCCCGGGGAGCCAGCAGAACCGCAGACAGATGAAGGCGTCTCACGGTAGGTGATGAGCTGGCCCTGGTGCCTGGCACACGGCAGGTGCTTGACCGTGTGGCTGTCCCCGCAGAGGGACTGGGGCAGAGGAGCGGGCACTCCCTCCCACTCACTTAACTCTGCCACTGCACGGGGGCCAGGGAAGGGGCCGCAGGAGACAGGGGAGCCGCCCACCCACCTTTTCTCCTGCACCTCCTGGATATTCTCGATCCCGATGGCACTGCTGCGGCGTGAGCCAAACGGGCCCGACTTCTTCCTCGTGGGGCTCTTTCCAGGGACAATCAGTGACTGCAGAGAAAGGCCCCAACTCAGTGCCCACCTGCCCTGGGAGACCCACTGCCCCCCACATGCCACCTGGGTCCCTGCTGCCCCGGGTCCTGAAGCAGAGGCAATGGAGCAAGAAAGGACGAGAGAAATGTCCATCTCCAGAGACAGCCCTCCAAGTTCACAGACAGGGAAACAGGCTTGGTGAGGGCCAGGGTCCCTGAGATCACACAGCAGTGTGGGGCCTGGAATCTTAGTCCAGGAGAAGGGCAGGAGCCGGAGGGGGCTGGGCAGCCACTCTGGGCCAGGATAGGAAGAGGCCAAGACCTCAGAATGGCTCCCAGCCCCCTGTCCCCACGTTGTCATGGAACCTGGGCTCAGGGCCACGGGGAGAGAGTGGACATCGCAACGCAAGCCCCCGCCCCACCTTGGAACCTCCAAACTGGCTAGGGGAGACTCTGGCCCAGCAGTTGTTCCTCAACACACTAGGGTGGGAGGCCCCAGGCGCCAGAAGCAGGCCCCAGCTTCTCTGGGGAGGCAGGAAGGTGGGCCCCAGGGAGGCATGGAGGGACAGGAACCCCCAGGCCGGTTCATGGTGGGGGGGTGGGGGGTGGGAATCAGGACAGAGGAGAGGGGTGGCGTTCCATGCAGAACTGGCGATATTGGGGGACGTGCAGCTGGGCATAGGGTCTTTGGGTACCAGATCCTGGCAGGGCCTCGGCCAGGGTCCCAAGGGCCAGGGCAGGGCCAGAAGCCCCCAGTGGGGGCGGGGGGGGGCACTGGCTCTGTCACAGGTACCAGGCCCCAAGGCGGGTGCCGAGTGCCCTCAGAGCTGCCGGCATTCCACCCTGCACAGCCCCGAGCCCGGCCCAGGGGAAAGAGGGGGCAACGTCCCCAATATGGCCTCCGTCCTGAGAGCGAGCAGAGAACAGCACGTGCACGCAGCCTCCAGAGCCGGCGGCCCCGCGGACGACAACCTCTTCCACCGTTCCTATGCCTATGGCACTGCCCCGGCGTCCGAATCTACTCGCGCTTTTCCCAGGAATAAGCAATGACTGGCAAGCAAGCAGAGGGCAGGGGCAGAGACAGACACGTGGAGAGAGACAGCG